CACTTCCACCGCAGATCCTCTTATGTTCAGGGGGGTGTAGGTGTTTTTGTTCCTTCTGAAGTCCACAATCATCTCCTTTGTCTTCTTCACATTGATGTGAAGGTTATTCTCTCTGCACCAGCTCTCCAGGTGTTCCACCTCCTGCCTGTAGCTGGACTCATCATTGTTTGTGATGCATCCCACCACCGCTGTATCATCTGCAAACTTTACAATGTGACAGCCTGGATGGGTAGCTGCACAATCATATGTGAGCAGAGTAAACAGGAGGGGGCTCAACACACATCCCTGAGGAGAGCCAGTGCTGAGGGTTATGGTGGAGGAGGAGAGGTTGTGGATCCTCACTAACTGTGGTCTGTTTGTTAAAAAGTCTAGTACCCAGTTGCAGATGGAGGGGCTTAGTCCTAGTGTGGATAGTTTGTCCATCAGGGTTTGGGGGATCATGGTGTTGAAGGCGGATGTGAAGTCCACAAAGAGCATACGGACGTAAGAGTTTTTCTGCTCCAGGTGGTTGAGTGCAGTGTGGACCACAGAGGAGATTGCATCCTCTGTTGATCGGTTCTCACGGTATGCGTACTGATGAGGGTCCTCGTTGATGTTGATGGTTGTTTTGATGTGAGTCATGACCAGTTTTTCGAAGCATTTAGCGACTATCGGGGTGAGGGCCACTGGCCGATAGTCATTCAGACCAGTCACTGTAGAGCTTTTTGGGACTGGGATGATGGTGGCAGTCTTCAGGCAGGTGGGAACTGTCTCCAGGGTAAGTGAGGTGTTAAAGATGTCTGCCAGCACCTCACAGAGCTGATCAGCACATTCCTTCAACACTTTTCCGGGGATGTTGTCTGGGCCAGTTGCTTTGTGCGGATTAATCCTCCTGAAGGTACTCCTTACTTCTGCTGAGGTCACGCTGAGATGCTCTTCATCCGGTGGTGAGGTGAGTCTGGTACATGGTACATCATGTACAACAATCAAATGTTATAGGCCAGATGGCTGACTTGCTACTCACAGAAGCCGCATGAGGACAACCAAGGCCAAAGTGGTTCAGAAAAGGTGTTGTAAGCTCAATCATCCAGTTAGATAAGAACAAAAAGGTTAAATCATATCATCTGGACCAGTTTCTTAAAGTGAGAAACGTTATGATTGTTTTTGAATGGGTGTGTTTTGCACGTGTTAAAAGCCTACTTTTGAGATTCCAACAGGAGGTTGACTTGAAACACAGGTACAAGATCTGGTTGGCAGGCTGTAGAGTGAGGAAGTCCTCTGGATGGGGGATGAAACATTTATTTATTTATTTAATTATTTCTATAGCACTTTACACAACCATGGTGATGGTGACCAAAGTGCTTAACAAAAAACAGTACTTAAAATGACAATAGGTTAAAAGCAAGAAAACACAACATAATAGCACAAATAAAACCAGAAATGTCACCACATATTTACGTACTAAAAGCTTGTTGGAATAAAAAAGTCTTGAGCTTCGATTTAAAAGGGCCAAGTTCAGTAATCTGACGCAGATCAAGTGGGAGCTTATTCCAGAGTCGAGGTGCGGCCGCAGAAAAGGCACGGTCACCCCAGAGTTCATATTTAGTCCTTGGAACAGAGAGCAGGAGCTGTCTGACCTCAAAGATCTGGAGTGGGCGGGGAAACTTAGCATCTCAGTTATATAAGGAGGAGCAAGGCCATTCAGAGCTTTAAAAACAAATAATAAAAGTTTAAAATCTATTCTAAAACGGACAGGGAGCCAATGTAGTGAGAATAAAACAGGTGTGATGTGGTCCCATCTAGGAGTGTTGGTTAAAAGGCGCGCTGCTGCATTTTGTACAAGCTGGAGGCGACTCAGTGATGACTGTGGTACACCGACATACAGAGCGTTACAATAATCGAGCCTAGAAGTGATAAAAGCATGAACAGCTTTCTCCAGGTCGCAACAATTTAAAAAGGGTTTGACCTTTTTTAAAAGGCGTAAATAAAAGAATCCCGACCGGACAACAGAGGCAATATGTTTGTCAAAGTGTAAAGCCTTATCAAAGGTCACCCCAAGGTTATTCACACAGTCACTGAAGTTAATGTCCAAATTTCCCAGGCCAGTTGCATCTTTGTCACCAAATAAAATCCATTCTGTTTTACTGTCATTTAAAAACAGGAAGTTCTTGTTCAGCCAATGTTTGATTGCAGAGATGCAGTCAAAGAGAGAAAGCATTGGGTTATTGGATCCTGGTCTTAATGGTAAATAGATCTGCAAATCATCTGCATAAAAATTAAAGTTGACATTGTGCTGTCTTATAATAGATCCAAGTGGCAATATGTATAATGAAAAGAGCAAAGGACCCAAAATGGAACCCTGGGGCACCCCACACAGAAGAGGGGCTGTAGAGGAAGAGGGGCCATTGAGCAAGATAGAAAAGGTTCTATCAGATAAATAGGACGTGAACCACTTCAGAGCAGTACCACGAATCCCAACAGAATCATGGAGGCGAGACAGAAGGACAGAGTGGTCCACAGTGTCAAAGGCTGCTGTAAGGTCGAGGAGCACCAGAGCTACTGGGCACCCAGAGTCAACTGACTGAGCTATGTCGTTATGAACTTTCAATAATGCAGATTCTGTGCTATGCCGGGATCTAAAACCAGATTGAAATTTATCCAGGATTGTGCTTTTTTCCCGAACAGGCTGAATTTGCGTAAGAACAATTTTTTCTAAAACTTTGGAGAGGAAGGATAAATTAGAAATAGGTCTAAAATTTGATAAAACCACGGGATCAAGATTTGTTTTTTTGAGAAGGGGGCGGACCGTTGCATGTTTAAAAGCAGAAGGCATAATTCCAATGGACAAACACGAATTGAAAAAAGGAAGATGGTAAGGACCAATAATATTAAATACCTATTTCAATAATCTGGTGGGGAGAAAATCAGTGGGGCAGTTGGTGGGTTTAATGGATTTGACTATTTTTTCCAAGAGGGAATAAGACACTGGTTCAAACTGCTCGAATAAAGCAGAACCAGCAGAGATAAAAGAACACTCTGAAACAGAAGTAGCAGGTGTGTCTGTGGCTTGTCTAACCGATGCAACTTTATCAATAAAAAAGGAGAGAAAGTTCTCACAGGTGGAGGCTGAGGCATCAGGTGAGACTGAGGTGGGTGGATTTAAAACAGAGTTAATTGTATTAAATAACACCCTGGGGCAGTGGCTACTGTTTGTGATAATGTTAGACAGAAATTGTGATTTTGCATCATTAACAGATCTCTGATACAGAACAAGAGTTCTCCTTAATAAAACCAAAGAATCATGTTGCCTGTCATGCTTCCACTGTCTTTCAGCCCTTCTACATTGTCTCCTGAGTTTGCATGCAGTAGAATTTTTCAGCCAAGGCTCAGCTCTGGGTTTAGGGTGTCTGAACTTCACCGGAGCAATAGAGTCCAGGATCCCAGTGCAGGTATCAGAAAACAATGACAAAAAATCTTTGGGACACAGAGAAACATCAGGACCAACTGAATAAAACTGAGAGTCCATAAAAGCAGTGGTAAACTGTTGGGCACTGGCTGAGGTGAGACAGCGGCGATGACACCCCGCAGCCAGAGGCCTCCTGGCTGGGTGGGGGGCTGTAAATTGGAAACAAATAGGGAAATGATCCGAGATGGCAGACTCAGAAATTTCACAGTGAGAAATGGACAGTCCATGAGAAATAATAAGGTCCAGAGTATGGCCAAGATGATGTGTTGGTGAATTCACTGATTGTGTTAAATTAAAAGAGGCTAAAAGCTGTAAAAACTCAGAAGCCAGTGGGTCAGTGGGACAACAAATAAGAATATTAAAATCTCCACAAATAAAAAAACTGTCATAGTTAGAAATAATATCAGCAAGGAATTCAGAGAATTCTTGAATGAATTCCTTGTTATATTTAGGTGGGCGATAGGCAACAGCACATAAAACATTCGGGGTGAGCTCAATCACAAACATCTGAAGTTCAAAGGAGGAGTAAGTGATGGTGGGCAGAAGTCTGCATTTAAAATTGTCCTTATAGATAGTGGCAACACCACCACCGCGGCCTGTCAGACGTGGGGAGCTGAAGAAGGAGCAGCCCGAGGGAGAGAGATCAGAAAACGCGCTGTTATCGCCCAGTCTCAGCCACGTTTCTGTCAGCAGCAGAAAGTCCAGAGAGTTTGCGCAGAAGAAATCGTGGAGAATAAAAGTTTTATTTATGACAGATCTAGTGTTCAGAAGAGCCATCCGGATGGAGCACTGACTGTTATCCTGGGATGCGTGGCCAAAGGAGCGGAGGTTCTCCTGAACCCTGCCATGCCTACAGATCTTTGCACACTGAAGACCAGGAAATGCGCCGCTGCCGGTGTCCTTATCCACGACGCGTAACCAGCTGTATGAATATTCCATGGGGCATCGTATGTCCACAAAGTTGTATTTCCTGAGAATCTTGCGCGAAGACTGGAATGAAGAAGAGGCGAAGTGAGCCCGAAGCTTCACAAGCAACCCACCCCTCCTGCCGCGTCTCCTGCGACGGCGCCCGCTGCGGGCAACCACAACACAAGGATTCCGTAGAAATGGAGGTATGGATGCCAGGTGAGGTGGAGGAAAAGTCTTGGATCGTCCATAAAGGTCACGAAACTGTACTTTTCCCACGATGGAATTAATATTTAAAAGTGTCTGGCGGTCATAAGTAAACAGTGATGACACAATCTGAACAAAAGTCAAGAAAAATAGCACAAAAAGTAACAACTTGAGGAGAGACAGACGACAAGCCACGTACAACGGCGCCATCTTGTCCTTCCGAAACACCTGGAGCATTTATCACTAAGAAACTGGTCCAGATGGCATGATTTAACCTTTTTTGATGTTATCTAGCTGGATGACTGAGCTTACAGGATTTTTTTTGGAAACTATAGCTCAAAATCCTTAAAAAAATTCCATTAAATTTTCAGTTTGTAAGTTAACAAAACTCAGAATACCAAAGTGTGAATACTTTTGCAAGCTACTGTAATGTGATACTTACTGATATTGCAAAGAGATTGTAGATGGCATCGAGATCCATGTTATCCCTGTGTTGTTGCAGAGAAGTGTCAAGGTCTACGCTGCTCTCTATGCTGCAGTCTGAGCCCATCCTGTTGCCATTTTCGTTAATCAGTTCCATGTCACATTGACTGCTGGATGCCTCTGTGACACAGGATGACCCTGATGCCAGCCAACCTGATGCCTCTGACCAGAGAAGACCCACTCCTGCCACTCCCGCCTCTGTGTTTGCCTGTGGCACACTTTCTCTGGACTCTGATTCAGAATTAGCAGCTCCATCTATGTTTTCCTTGTTGTTGGAGTGTCTGTGCTTGCTACAAAGCTGTGGCAGACGTAACCGGCCAGGTCTAGGACCACCAGTTCTTGGGCTGCTGGAGGGACTACTGTTCCGGCTGAGAGAAGATGCTGATCTTCTGCTTGAGGAAGGCGAAGCTGTGGGGATGCAACATAGTCAAAGGCATGTTTTATTACAGTTAAGTTAAAAAAAAACAACCTTTTATCCCACATCTGCTATAACATTTTTCGATTCAGACAAAAACATTTAACTTTTATTTTATAATTAAGCTTAATAGATGACTGCACAAGGGCTGTATAAAAGATTGAAATGAAAAAACGTAAATGATTGAGCTAATCTATAGTGCCTTCTGAAAGTTCACAGACCTCCTTCACTTGTTGAATTTACAAAAATGTTACATCATGTCATCTGGACAGTGTCTTTTTTGCAAGAAACGTTTTGTCTTTCATCCAAAAGACTGAGCATACGTACTCTTTCTTTTTAACCAATTTGGCCAGGTTGTCTTCAGGCTGGTTCAGTAAGTAGTAAGTGGTCATTTTGCCTAAAACATTTGATTTTCATGCACTAATGATTGTTTTTGAGTGATGGTCCTCCATTTTGCATGTGTAAAACCAGTTTCTGGTAATTCTACAGCAGACTGGTTTGAAACACATCAATGAGGTGCAATTTAATGCAACAGATCTTGTTGGAAGGCCTCACACTGATGAAGCCTTTTGGATGAAAGACAAAATGTTTCCTCCAATAAAAAACTGTCCAGGTGACCTGATTTAACTTTTTTGTTATTTATTTACCTGGATGATTGAGTTTACTTACTCTTTTTCTTTTTGAATTTAGTTTTTAAGTTGCCAGATGTAAAAACTATTTTCTTTCTCATTAATATACCTTAAGTATAATGTGGTGACAAAGCAAAAAAAGACTGAAATATCACATTTCCATAAGTATACAGACCCTTTACCCAGTCTTGGCGAAAGTTTAAGCCTTAAGTGTTATTAAGTTTGATGTAACAAGTGCTGCACTCCTAGACTGGGAACGTGTCTTCTTTGTAAACCTTGTCAGTAAATGGGATAGGGACAATTAGTGGAGACATTGTCAGGTATCCCCCGAGATGTTTGGTAGGGCTTAAATGAGGACTAAAGCCCTATTCGCACAGGATTAGTTTTACCTAGGGACCACATGCTATTTGTAATAATGACGGAGATTGTGTTGTTAATCCCGTGCGAATCGGCCATGTCAGTAATTTGTAAAGTAAAAATCCCCCCCCAAATTACCTACTATATTTTGCTGAACTCCGAGGTCCTGTGATAATACTAATCCAATGCGAATAGGCATTTCTGTGATTTGGACAGAAATGAGTAGGATCCGATACGTTATTAGGTGTTTTTTGTTTTTGTTTAAGCATTTTTTTATGCTTTTAGTGTTTAGTGTATATTTAGTTGATGTTTTTCTTAGTTCATAGCTTTGATCTTATTGCTGTTTTTATTTTACATTTTATTGTTGGATGTAACTGGGACCCTGTGTACATAATTTTGTTCCACCACATGTACCATATGGGGTGTGAATAACAAATGAAGAACCTTGAATCCTTGCAAATCATTTGGAAAAATATGGAACAAGGCTATTTTAAATTAACGTGCTGCTTGCTACAGCTTTTATGCTGCTACTTCCTTCACCGCAGGTGTGGGGAGACGCGCGCATGATCAGCTGACCCATCCATCCATCCATTATATTTACCCACTTCCTCCTTTTCGGGTAGCGGGAGTCGCTGGTGCCCATGTCCAACCATCACTGTGCGAGAGGCAGGGGACACCCTGGACAGGTCCTAAGTCCATTTCAACCAGCGGGTCAGCGGACGTGCGCGGCTGGTGACAGGTTGTCCATCTGAGCTTAACATGGCTTTTTTACCTCTTAAACCGGCTGTTCGGACGTGCCTCCTCCTCAACAAGTAGATTAACATAATTTTATGTTGTGCATTCTTTAGTTTTCTTTGTGTTGATTCGTAAAACCAAATCAAAGCCTGAGACCATCCCAGCCCGCACATTAAGCAAATTATATGGACCGGCCCGGTCGTGACAACGCAGCGCATTAACATCATATCCGGAAGATGTCCGTAAATTTCAACTAAATCTCAGGTTTTGGTTATACTGTGCGAATGCGCCATATAAAAGCAAACGCTGGGGAGTAATTTATTTATTCCATGTAGTCCCTAGGTAAAACTAAGCCCGTGCAACTAGGCTTTAGACTGTTTTTTCCTCCACACTGACCCAGTCTCCTAGCCCTTCCTGCTGAAAAACACTTCCAAATAATGCTGTCACCGACATGCTTCACTGTGGAGATTGTGTTTTGCTTTAATGTGTCAAGAATTGTATGTGAGAATTGTGTCAAGCTACATTGTCACACAGCACAGATCAGTGGTAGTCTGCAGTTCTGCTTTTCCTGCTAAAACTTGGTCCCTTCACCACAAAAGGTCTTTGAAGATCAGTGACCATCAGGGGTTAGGTCACCTTTCTCACTAAAACTGTTCTTTGTTTGCTCAAGGCAACCAACACTTGAAAAGAGTCCTGGATGTGCAAAACATCTTCCATTTGAAAATCATATAGAGGCCACTGAACTCAGAGAAATCTTCATAGCAAATTTTTGTCTAGCCTTCCCCATATCTGTACCATGCACCAATTGTACCTTTGAGCTCTGCAGGCAGTGTTTTTGTCCTCATGTGTTTGGTTGTACAATTATTGTAAGCTAGAAAATAGTTTTGTAAGCTCAATCATCCAGGTAGATGACAACAAAAATGGTTAAATCGTGTCATCTGGACCTGTTTCTTTAAATGAAGAAACGTTTCATCCCACATCCAGAGGACTTTGTCAGTCTGTGGCCTGCCAATCAGATCTGTCCCATAGGTAGTCTTCATTGCTGTTGGCTCAAGCCAACCTTCTGTAGGAATCTTAGAAGCAGGCTTTCTAACACATGCAAACAGAGCACACCCATCCAAAACCATCAATCATCCTAACCATTTTTGTTGTTGTTTTACCTGGATGATTGAGTTTACAAAACTTTTTTCTGAACCATTTTGGCCTTGTTTGTCCACAGACTGTTTCTGTGAGTAGCAAGTTGGCCACCTGGCCTAAAATCTGACATCCTCACTGAAATAAAGCTTCCACACCGCCAACATGATCTCCGACGTGATCAGATCAGGTAGGCGCGGATGACATGATCACGTTGTGCTGGCGCTGCAGGCATCCTTGTCACTGGGTTGTCATACAAAAACAGTGACTATTATATCGGTAAGTTATTTTGATGGAATGGCCGATGTCCGATATTGAACTTTAACGCTAACATCGGCCGATAATGATACCATGTTGATAATATTGTGCATCCCTAAAAATAAATTAACTTTTTTTTTAACATGAGGAGCAGACTGCTTTGAATTTAACTCCATCGCAGAATTCTCACCTTGAGCAAGCACAAAGTCAACATTGGAAAGGAAAAACTCCCTCATGAGGAAGAAACCTTTAGCAGAACCAGGCTCAGGACAAGAATCCATTTGCTTCAACCGGCTGGGTTTGAGAGGGCAGGAAGGAGGAACAGATAAACAATGGCAGGTCGAGAATCACGTTAAGATATAAATAGTATCAAATGAAAACTATTTAATTTAAACAATTCATTTAAGGAAATAAGGTCAATTTGTCCTCTAGTAGTCTAAGCCTATAGCAGCACAACAAACTCTTATAGCTACATAACCTCATAACAAAGTTATGTTTCTTAAGTAAAAGTTCAATTGCAGCAATATTAAAGCTCTGTGGTATGCAACCATTTATTAAACAAATTAAAGAGATCCAAGACGTAGTTATTAATTAAGGGGAATACGTCTTTAACTAGCCTGTTTGGGATGGGATCTAGCAGACATGTGGATAGTTTGGATGAAGCTATTAGTTTGACAATTCAGAGAGCTCAACGGGACAAAAACTGTCCAAACACAAATCAGGTTCTAGTGACATTTTTAAAGTTGTCTCATTGGGCACGGAACAAGAGGTGATAATAGGAAAGATTGTTTGAATTTTTTTCCTTAATTGAAACAATTTTATTTATAAAGAACATCATAAAGTCATCACAGCTTATAGTTGTAGGGATACATGAATCAACAGAGATAGGATTTTTCATTAGACTAGCTATGGTACTGAAAAGGAACCTGGGTTTATTTTTATTCTCATCAATTAAAGATGAATAATTTAAAGTTCTAGCTTTACAGAGTGCTTTTTTTATGTTAGCTGGCTATCTCTCCAAGATAAGTAAAATTATTCAAAGTTAGTGAAGCACCACTTTCTTTCCAGCCTTCTAGATGTCTGTTTTAAAGTACATAACCCAGAATTGAACCAAGGAGCTAATCTCCTCTGTTTTAATTTCTTTTTCAGTGGAGCAGCTTTATCAAGTGAAGTTTGCAAAGAAGTTGTAAAATTATCAACCAGATGATCTAAGTCACTGCTCTCTGATGTATTACTCTGTAAAACAGAGGAAAACGATTGAAGAAAATATTTAAATTTAAAGCGTCTTCTGATAAGCCCCTGCTAAGAAGATATTTACTTTCAGTGACTGTGCAGTCTTTTAATGTAAACTCAAAGGAATAGAAGAGAGAAGCGGAGCGTGCTCTATTCACACAAGGAGAGCTATTAGTCTGACTTGCTTCTTGTTGCTCTCTAAAATAGTTATTTAATTCAACTGAATTTAGTTTATTTATATAGCGCCAAGTCACAAGAGAATTCAACTTAAGCTTAAGGCAGCATAATAACAATGGTGTACCACAAGGCTCAGTCTTAGGACTCACCCTCTTTACAATCTACATACATAATGTAGGTAAAAACATCCCTAATGCATCCATACATTTCTATGCTGATGACACAGTTGTTTATTGTCGAGCTAAAACAGTTGCTAAGGCTTTCCAGCTTTTGAATTCTGCATTCAACTACATCCAGACTGATTTGTTCCGCCTCAAACTTGTCCTAAATGCCGACAAAACCAAAGGGATGCTTTTTTTCAAATAGGAAGTTGGTCCCAGCAGTTCTTCATCCGATTTTATCCTCTAATGGTGTCCCCATTGAGTTTGTTGATTCCTATAAATATTTGGGTATCTTGGTCGACTCACATCTCTCTTTTAAGCTCCATGTGGAAAACTTGGTAAAGAAACTGAAAGTTAAACTGGGTTTCTTTTTCAGAAACAGATCCTGTCTAACCCTGAATGCTAGAAAACGCCTTGTATCTGTGACTTTCCTTCCTTCAATTGATTATGGTGACATTATTTACATGAACGCTCCTACAAGAACCCTGCAGATGTTGGATGCTGTCTATCATGGTGCACTAAGATTCATAACTGGCTGTGATTATCGTACCCACCACTGCACCCAGTATTCACTGGTTAACTGGACATCATTAACTTCACGCAGACTCTCTCACTGGTACATTTTCATCTTTAAATCACTTCTTGGTCTGCTGCCTTCATACATCTCATCCTACATGTCTCTGCGTGAGTGCAGCTACAGTGTGCGCTCTCAGGACATTATTACCTGCAGTGTTCCCTCAATGAGGACTTAACTAGACAAAAGGACCTTCTCCTATTCCGCTCCTGTTTCCTAGAATATCTTACAAAAAGATTTGAAGCTCTCGACCTTGACCTCTCTAAGTGGCTTTAAGAATCTGTTGGACTCCTGGCAGGGACCAATGCAGACATGTTCCTGTTTTTAGTTTTCTACAGTCGCCTTAGAATCTAGCTGTTTTTTTTTTTTTTTTGTTACCTTTTCCTTTTAGCCATCCTATTTGTAAAAAAAAAAAAAACCTGCAGTATGACTTTTTATAATTGTTTATTGTTGTTGCTGTTGTCCATTGTTGTCATCTTTCTTTGTTGAAAACAGGTCTCTCTTGTAAATGAGTCCTCGAGGCTCAATGGGATTTACCTGTCTAAATAAAGGTTGATAACAAGCCAATCCTAATTATAAGATTTATCAAAAAGGAAAGTCTTAATCCCAGTCTTAAAACTGGACAATATGCCAGCCCTACGGACAGAAACTGGAAGTTGGTTCCACAAAAGAGGAGCCTGATAACTGAAAAATCTTCCTCCCACTCTGAATCAAGTGTTTACTTATGTAGGTAAACGTAGATTTAGCAACCTGTTAAAATACACCAGAATGCAGGATATGGCATCTACTTTATTAAAATTTTCTGGGGGAGGACCCTCAAACCCCATCCATCACCCCCCCACTATTTGCATTCCGGTATCGTTTGGTTTACAAATTACCGTTTAACACTGACTGCACCTACTAATTTTTAAAATATGAAAAAGACCAAAAGACAGGTAGGTGAGTGCTTGTGTAAGGAGTGTTTTTTTTAGACCAAAGCACCACACACATTTTCTGAACAGAAACAGTCTACAGAAAACCCAACATTCCAGCTCAGATGCTCTCAATCAATCTTTAGTAATATATTCATTAACATTTTGACCACTACGGAACTACAACATATTGTTATGTACAGTTTTTTTTTTCTGTGACTTATCTTTTCTCTTTAACAAACATTGAATCAAGAAGGAACTGTGTTTAAATGCTACATCATATTCACCAGACTGTACCTTTGGGCTGAAGGCAGAAGCCAGCTGGAGCAGAGATCGAGGACAAGTTGTCTTCACCAACCCTCAGCAGGTCCTCACTTTCACTCAGGGAGTGGAGGGAATGTTGCTCCCTGTTTCTAGGAGCAAGGAAGGCGCTGGGGTCAAAATTCTCTCGTGGAAACTTGACAATCTTTTGAGACTTTATCCATCGACCATTAACGAACTGGAAGCGTTTGAGGTGAACAATCTGAAGAGGAGATCACAGTATAACTTCTGCACTGATCTTGGACAAATGACTTTCACTTTGAACTTTAAATTCAGGCCTAAACAGCACATAAATTCCAAACGTCAGATCTCTTTCAGACATGGGAAATGGACACTGACCAGTATTGGTGGCAGTCTCCAAAGGTCCAGCTTCTTGGTGGCCAGTCGATGGGTCTTGCACTTAGAACAGTAGTAGAGTTCATCCTCCCCCAGTTCTTCCTCAGTAGTGAAGGCCTTCAGGCAGCTGTCCAAGCTGATGGGCTCAGCCTGCGCTCTACGAGACTGCTCCACACTGTTGTGCTCCACCACAATCTGAAGGGAGAACAAAGTCAGAGGATAAGTTTCGGGCTTTCTCTCTTACTGACAGTGTACGCACTGGTACACTGCCACATGGTACCATTTTTTGATAAACCCCAAATAAGTAATGTTGGTCAGATCATTCCTGATGATTCCATTCTTACATTTCTATGCCAATGACACAATAGTTTATTGTCAAGCTAGAACAGTTGCTATGTCCTGATGCATGCTCAATAATCTAGGTAGAAAAATAAAAAAAAAGTTAAGTATGGTCCTCTGGACGTTCAAAAAACAAAACAAAACAAAACAAAAAAAAGGTAGAAACATTTTGTCTTTCATCCGAAAGACTTCTTCAGTCTGAGGCGCTGTATTTTGAATAGGGAGACCACCACCCCGGTCTGCCAATCCAGGGGAACTTCCCCCGATGTACACGCAATATTGCAGAATCGCGTAAGCCAACACAACCCTACAACATCCAGAGCCTTAAGGAACTCTGGGCAAATCTCATCCACCCCTGGGGCCCTGCCACCGAGGAGCTTTTTAACCACCTCGGTGACCTCAGCACCAGAGATTGGAGGGTCCAACCCAGAGTCCCCAGGCTCCGCTTCCTGAGTGGAAGACATGCCGGTGGGATTGAGGAGGTCTTCAAAGTATTCCACCCACCGACCCACAACATCCCGAGTTGAGGTCAGCAGCACATCACTCCCACTATAAACAGTGTTGGTGGCATACCGCTTTCCCCCCCTGAGACGCCAAATGGTGGATCAGAATCGCCTCAAAGCCGTGCGGAAGTCATTCTCCATGGCCTCTCTGAACTCCTCCCATGCCCGAGTTTTTGCCTCGGCGACCACCCGAGCCACATGTCGCTTGGACTGCTGGTACCCATCAGCTGCTTCCGGGGTCCCACAGGCCAAAAAGGCCCAATAGGACTCCTTCTTCAGCCTGACAGCATCCCTCACTGACGGTGTCCACAATCGGGTTCGAGGGTTGCCGCCACGACAGGCACCGACAACCTTGCGGCCGCAGCTCTGGTAAGCCGCCTCGACAATAGAGGATCGAAACATGGTCCACTCGGACTCAATGTCCCCCACCTACCTCGAAACATGTTCGAAGTTCTCCCGGAGGTGGGAGTTAAAACTCCGTCTCACAGGAGACTCTGCCAGACGTTCCCAACAAACCCTCACAATACGTTTGGGTCTGCCAGGTCTGACCGGCATCCTCCCGCACCAACGGAGCCAACTCACCACCAAGTAGTGATCAGTGGACAGCTCCGCCCCTCTCTTCACACGAGTGTGCAAGACATGTGGCCGCAGATCAGATGAGACGATGACAAAGTCGATCATCGAACTGCGGCCTAGGGTGTCCTGGTGCCAAGAGCACATATGGACACCCTTATGCCTGAACAAGGTGTTCGTTATTGACAATCCATGACGACAATCCATGACGAGCACAGAAGTCCAACAACAGAACACCACTCTGGTTCAGATCAGGGGGGCTGTTCCTCCCAACCACACCCCTCCAGGTCTCACTGTCATTGCCCACAGGAGCATTGAAGTCCCCCAGCAGAACAAGGGAGTCCCCAGGAGGTGCACTTTCCAGTACCCCCTCCAAGGACTCAAGAAAGGGTGGATAACCTGAACTGCCGTTTGGTGCATAAGCACAAACGATAGTCAGAACCCGTCCCCCCACATGTAGGCGGAGGGAGGCCACCCTCTCATTTACCGGGGTGATCCCCAACACACAGGCACCAAGTTGGGGGGCAATAAGCATGCCCACTCCTGCTCGGTGCCTCTCACCAGGGGCAACTCCAGAGTGGAAGAGTGTCCAGCCCCTCTCAAGGAAACTGGTTCCAGAGCCAGAGACATGCGTAGAGGTGAGTCCGACTATTTCTAGCCGGAACCTCTCAGCCTCACACACCAGCTCAGGCTCCTTCCCCACCAGTGAGGTGACATTCCACGTCCCAATAGCCAGCTTCTGTAGCTGAGGATCAGACCGCCAGGGTCCCCGCCCTCTGCCATCACCCATCCCACATTGCACCCCACCCCTTTGGCCCCTCCCACAGGTGGTGAGCCCATGGGAAGGGGGACCCACGTCTCTTCTTCGGGCTGTGCCCGGCCGAGCTCCATGGGTAAAAGCCCGGCCACCAGGCGCTCGCCCGCATGCCCCACCTCCAGGCCTGGCTCCAGAGTGGGGCCCCGGTGACCCACGTCCGGGTAAGGGAACATTAGGTCCGTTTATTTTTCTCATCATCGGGGTTTTTGGGCTGCACTTTGTCTGGTCCCTCACCTAGGACCTGTCTGCCATGGGTGACCCTACTAGGGGCTTAAAGCCCCTGACAGCATAGCTCCTAGGATCATCGGGACACTCAAACCCCTCCACCACGGTAAGGTGGCAGCCCAGGGAGGGGCTTGGGGGTTTGGGAGGTTAAATTATTAAATCAGTGCATATGTGAGTTCAATGTGGTGATGGCTTTCGGGAAAAAAACTGTTCTTGAATCTGTTTGTTCTTGTTCTGATGCACCTGTAGCGCTTCCCTGAAGGTAGCAAGTCAAACAGTTCAAAACCTGGGTGTGAACAATCCTTGATTATGCTTTCTGCTCTGTTGAGGCAGCGTGATGTGTAAATGTCCATCAGGGAGGGGAGAGGGCAAACAGTTATCTTTTGTGCTGTCTCGACTACTCTCTGAAGCCTCTCCCTGTCAGCCAGGGTGCAGCTGCCGTACCACACTGAAATACAGTATGTCAGCAGGCTCTCAATTGATGAGCGGTAGAAAGTCAACAGCAAGTTGGTGTTCAGGTTGTGCTTCTTAAGTACTCTTAAGAAGTGTAGTCTCTGCTGAGCCTTCTTGATGACCGCTGTAGTGTTCTCTTTCCAGTTAAGGTCAGCAGAGATATGGACACCAAGAAATCGGAAAGTGTGAACCCTCTCCACGCACTCGCCATTGATGTAAAGTGGGGTCTAGGTTGGTGTTGTGCTTCCTGAAATCAATAATTACCTCCTTGGTTTTTTTTAATATTCAGAGCCAGGTTTTTATCTAAGCACCAGGTTGCTAGCTCCAGGACCTCCTGTCTGTAAAATGTCTCATCTCCCTTAGAGATTAGTCCGACCACTGTGGTGTCATCAGCGAACTTGACGATAAGGTTGTTGTTGTGGGCTGAGTTGCAGTCATAGGTTTAGAGACAGTACAGCAGGGGGCTCAGCACACAGCCCTGTGGGGAGCCAGTGCTCAGCGTACGAGTGGAGGAGAGGTGGGGACTAAGTCTTACAGATTGAGCCGATTGGTTAGGAAATCTTTTCTCCAGGCACATGTGAGGGGGGGAGGCCGAGATTGTCCAATTTACTTATAAGAATGTCCGGAATGATTGTATTAAAAGCTGAGCTGTAATTCACAAAGAGCATTTGAATGTAGATGTGCTTTTGTTCCAAGTGGCTCAGCGCGGTGTGGAGAGCTACTGCAATAGCATCCTCTGTGGACCTGTTGATGTGATATTGACACTTCCGGTAAGATGGCGCCCGTGTACATGGCTTGCAATCCACCTCTGCTGATGGTGCTCGGATTATTTTTGTTTTTTGCATTTCACATCTGTGACATCAACTCTCTGCTGGTGTATGACAGACAACAACTTTTGGATCATCGTTTTCCTGGCACTGAAGTTGCTGATTTTGACCATTATCAGCGTACCTCTGGACCCCCCCCCCCCCCCCCCCCCCCCCCCCCCC